TAATGCTTACCTTTATTCGCTGACCTTAAAACGTCTAACGCTTTATCCAAGAAATATCTTCTTGAATTCAGAAGGTAATGGCAATTCGACAACGAAAACACACCATCGCTGAGATGGAACACATCATCCACACCCGTTATGGCAATAATATATGAATATATCTTCTTTAAATAATTGAACACTTGCCCGCTCATTCTAAGGTAAATACAATTTTCCTTGCCACATGTAGCATTATCAATTTTTTTCGGACAAATAGCTTCTTCTGACCAGGACCAAGCTCTGCCAACAGGTCCCGGAATAGCTACTTCCATTACAACTCTTATACCTCTTACAGCTGCCCTGCTCACGACTTTTTTGACATCTTCTTCGGTATATACCATGGATGAATCATAGGCTCCGTATCGTACTAAGTTTTCAAGACCAGGCAAGAATAAAGGAAAACTTGCTGCGTCTGACACCCTCCAATGTAAAGTGTTTAACTTGCAACTTGACATGGCATCAACGGTTCTCACCAAATCCTTAACAGGTAGGTAGTTCCTTCCAGTATCTAACATTATTCCTCGGTATTTATACGTAGGGGAATCTTTAATATGGAGACTGGATAAAGTGATTAGATAACCAGTACTCTGATCCAGTAACATCAACTGACTTAGAGTTTCCAAACCATGTCTGACACCACAAAAAGAGTTGGAGGTAATTGAAACTTTGACTTTTTTAGTCAACGTCTCTATTTTCAGATAATAAGTTTCATCTGTGTTCAATCTGATCCTTGGATCAGGATCAGTTTCCACGTTAATTAAGATAGTTAGTTTCTTGACATCAAAATCTTTTGTGAAGTTCTTTTTATTCTGCATGTCAACTCGTTCCAACTTTGAGAGTTCAGCTAGAAATAACCTGAACGCTTCAGCTAAATGTTGATTTACTGCTTCAGATGGTATATTCTGAAACTTATATTCCATTTTTTTAGTAGCAAGACTTACAATGGTCTCACTCATAGGTATATAGTCTATGGGTTGCGGCCAGATCTGAGGACCAGTGCAGAGAAGAATGCATCTACTCAGAGACAGATGAAGGTTTTGTTTTCGTGGATCTCTCTCTCTCTTCACTCTTTCACAAACGGCATTCTTGCACTGCCACATCCAAGTAGGATATGATATTTGAAAGCTGGAAAACCATGGAAAACTGTATGAGTTCCCGGGATTTCGCGGTGGATAGAACAAACAACGGGAGACGAATATATAACAGTGGGTAAAGTTGAGAGATAATGATGATGAGGCTATAATCATAAATACAAAGATCGAACACAAAGAAAATTCACTCGATCTGACACGACTCGAACCTGCGTCTGTATGCTAAACTAAGGCCACCGCTTTATCAACTGGAGAGCAAACGTCACGAATTTTTCTGTTTGTTACAGATCTTCTGTATTCGGTTTTATAGTCTTTTATCGCCGTACAAAGTATATACAGATGCAGTTTCAAATCCAGTGAGATCGAAAGAATTTTTCTTTGTGTTAGACCTTTGTATTAATAATTATAACAAACTAGTGAATAAATTTCATAAAAAATGGATGTCACGGTAGTAGAACACGTTATCGGTGGCCTAACGGTATTCATTGCGGGCGTTGGTTGCGGAACCTGGGATTCCCGGTAATATCAATTCGGGAAATGAACTTTTCCAAATTGGTTCTGGTCTTGGTGTTCTGGGATATGCCCCGGAATCCCGTTGCTCTGGTACTCATAGTACAGAGATTTCTTTGTTTGAGATCAGGAAATTAGAGTCGTTGTCTGGCACATATTACTATTAATCAATAAAATCGATGATGGTGGAGGTTTACACTTAAGTGCTTTGAATCATATGCAGTTTAGTTAATTTATTATTCCTTCTTAATGTGGAAAGTCTTTATCGAGAACAAATTATGTGGGGCATGGTGGACTGTGGACTGATCTTTCTCAAATGATAACCCTTCTACAACACTTTTATCACTGTGTTTTTTTCACTGTTCAAGCCTAGTAGAATAAGAACAAGTATGGTAACTCCGTATTAGCGCCACAACATTAGTTGTCTCAACGCGCATTTCATTATTATGCGAATGTGTGCGTCCGGACACGGTTGCGCGCACATACGAGTCGCGCTGTTATTGGATACGGAGTTGCCTTACTTATTGTTAATCTACTATGGTCTTAAGCATGTAATGATTTTAATTTGCACATACTCCGACAAATGTTCTGGCTCGTACTGGGAACAACAATGTTGATAACATCATGTAACACATTTTCAAAAAGGTTCTGTTTCTGGTTTGACAGCATTAATTTCTGTTTAATTAAGCAGGGCCTATATAGCAGAGTACCTACACCCCTGAAACTTTCCTTTTGTGGATATCACATTGGTATTCTTTTGAAATATAATGTTTATTCAATGAAATATAAAATCAATACTATTTTTAATAATTAAATAATTTATTCATATTCCTAATATTTAATATTTTTTAAATGTTTATATAATTTGTAAAGAATTTAATAATGGTTACATAATTTAATAATGTTTTGATAATGTTGTTACAATAATTTAATAAATTTTGATAATGTTGTTATATTGATTTAATAATGTTTTGATAGTGTTGTTATAATGATTTAATAATGTTTTCATAATGGTAGAATAATTTTTTTAATGTTTCCAATAATTTAATAATGTTTTATAAATTAATTACGTTTTATAACTTAATAACGTAACAAATTTAATTTTATTCTTTACGTAATGTGTGTCTGCACTAATGGCGCATGTAATAGTAAAAATAAGTTGTTTATAATTTTGGGGTCCCACGATACAAGCCTTGAGCTTAGTGTATGTTCCACTAACTTGTGCCGTTTGCGCTTTGTGCCTTCTTTTACTGTTCTGTATTCTGTGGGTATTGTAATTTTTAATGTCCAATAAAGAATTTTTCCATTTCCATTTTCCAATGTTTCCTTATTGTCAGTCATGGTTACTTACTAAGAAAATCTAAGTTTGTCAGAATACTATGGAAAGTGTGCTCAACATAAAATTGGAAGAAAAGTAAAACTAAGTACAATTAAAAACAAATCAAAGACTAAAAAAGTCACAGACATAATAAAGCTACAAAAATAGCGTTAGACAGGACACATGATGAGAGAGAAAATTTATAAGTGGACAAAATATATTGTAGAATGTTACCCAAGAGAGGGAAAAAGGAAGAAAGGGATACTTTAGATGGGAAGACGATATGAAATATATTGCTGGAGAAGCATGGAGGCAAACAGCAAAAGATACGGAGAAATGGAAATCTCTGGAAGAAGCCTATGTCTTAGGAAAAGCTGAAGGTACCGAGTCAACAATAATATAGACATTTGAGTATTAAGAAAATAAACATGTCATACAATGTTTCTGTGTTAGATAAGTTAGTAGGTAAGTTAGCTTATGTATCAGTTGTCTTATTATTCTTGTTAATCAGCAATAAAGGCTACAAATAAAATAAATAAATATTGTATTTCAATAAAGAGATAGTCAAAACTTTGAATCCAAAATTTTAACTTTTCGTTGTCCTGACCACAAAAACGAAAGTTTTTCCAGAGGAATGAAGTTTTTTCATGTTTTTATGTTAGAACCGATTAGGAAATGATATTGATAACCCAGAAACAAATAACGTGTTACATAGTGATAACGGATGATATTTTACTTTATATTTTAACTGCCACGCATTCGATTCCCGGGCCGGTAGAAATATTTGTATGGCCTACATTTATTTATTTCATGACTTTGGGTGTAATTTGTGGTTGTCTATGTGGGTGTCCATGGCATCCGCGATACAGAGTCCCCTAGTGCTAATATTATTTAAAACTAATCTCAGTTTTGAATTTTGAACTCGTTTACCTGTGATCATATCGTTTTATCTTCAAAGCTTTAGTATCATATATATTTGATTTTTGGCATACAGGGCTTGAAGCATTTTTGACAAATAAATTAAATGAGCCCCAGGTAAGTGCCATCACAGTGATGGCAATAGCCAAAGAAGCGATCCCGAAGACGCAACACATGTATTTTTGATACTTTTCGCAGGAATATTTGCGAAGTTTCCTAAAAGCAAAACAAGTAATAACTATCTGACTTCACTTCTCATTTTCCATTGTAAAGTGGAAATGATGTGCTCTGTATACATTTTTGTTTCTTTTGAAACACAGTAGTTCAATATGTAATATAGTAAACTAACACAAATTGGTCACATTATTCTGCTTAGAAAAGTCATAGGCCTATGAGGTAAAGTTGGGAAGTAATAACTTATCGATACTTGAAAGGTCTTTGACCTTTGGCTTGTTGTGGTTGGTAAAAAGATCTTTATTCTGCTGGCAACAAGGTGCCTTGTCGACCTTGAAAAAAGCATGACAATTTACTTTTCTTTCTGTGCTGATCCAAGTTTGACTTCTATTTCTTCTTCAGAATTTTCAGTTACAGCAACAGGTTTGGTATGAAAAATGGTTGTTACTCCTGAAGATTCGGTTTTTTCCCTTAGGTCACTACTTGAAGGTATAGCGCTGTTGGATTGATATGCCGTTACAGAATATCTTTCAGTAAACGGGTGCCCTGTTCATAAAAACATAACGCTTAATAAGCATTTTTATTATAATGGTCATGAAGCACATTAATTTTGTGATGTAGAATAAATAAATGGATTAAATGTTTTCATAGGTACTTCGTGCGAAAACAAATTGATCGCAGCGCTTCCAGAGGACTTTTTTTATAAAAATGCAAATGCAGATTTGATCTCCATCTCACCTGATGGAAAGTGCATGAACACGTAAATAATGCCTATTCACTCTCGCCTTGAAAAGGTCAAGTTATAACGTTCAGGAAACTAGTCTGCAGGCAGGGAATTCCACTACATAGCCGTTCGCCTTATAAATATGGAAGCGTAACGCTTCGTAACGCGTATCTTTGGAATGTCCACAACATAGGAGTGGAACCGAAGCCTACGTCTAGTCCCCCGGTGATGGAAAGGGGAAGGCGGAATAAAATCGTTTAATTACATCGCACACTCTCCGTAAATTAATAGCTATATGCTTGCAGCTTGACATCTGTGTTACGTTTTTGTATATTGTAATCTCAGTACAGAGTACTAAAAAAACCGACCTCAAATGTAAGTGGAATTACGTCTATTTGCTAAGTTTTGTTGAAATATCCCCTAGTTCGCCACTATACAGGACTTGACACTAGAGATAATAAGAATCGGTTGAAAAGAGAGAAAAACGCCTTGAATTGGAGAAATAGCAAAATTAACCATTAAAGTAATTGCTCCTAAATTAAAGTTAGGCGCTATTTATAAAAATGAATCTTCATGCGTGAGCAGCCACCCTTCGAGGTGGATGATTTTCTTCAAAATGAAATGGAACCACTATGGAAGTACCCCCTTTCCAAAAAAAAAAGAATCATGAAAATCGGTTCACAAATCGCGTAACATACATACAAAAAAAAACATACAGACGAATTGAGAACCTCCTCCTTTTTTGAAGTCGATTAAAAACGGTACTACATTGATGTAACAATTTCAGAACAAATTTTGACGTGTTGTCAATTATTTCACTTCAAATAGACCAGATTAACTAGAACGTTGCTATAATGGACGAAAATTTAAAAAAATAATTACCGGTGAAATATGACTCCGTTTGTTTTGTAATTAGATGTTTTGCTGTTTTTTCCACACCACCGAATGGAACTGCTCACCATAGTTACAGATATTATCTTTATTACAATAAATACAGAATACTTTTGGAATATATGGAGACGTACATACAGGCCAGTTGTTGGCGCTGTACTATTTCAGCTTTCTTATTTTTTATTTCAGTGCAAATGAGAGTTGATATTTAAAAGTGATATAAGGCCCTTTTGCCTGATAAGTTGTCAGGGATAGAAGGCCTGTATTTCGCCTCTATTTCTGGTTATATACTCGATGATCAAAACTAACCATTAACTATTAAGATGTAATACAAAGACACTAACAATTAATAAATCGGTAAATACTGAGATAATATGCAAAAGAAAAGAACAATTTGCAAAAAAGAAGAAAGGCACGTTAGAGTAATTAATTTCTTGAAACTAACTTATGCCAATATCAGGGAAAGCCAAAAAGATATCTTCGTCATCAATAGCAGAAGGTTCATCGACAATCATGGAAATAGTATCCTTACAGTTACAACACGACGGTTCATCTTTGAATGACACGCTATTAAACAAAATCTTATCTTCTGTCAAAGGTTGAGGATTATAGGTATTTTCCAAGTCATCGACTGGACAGAAGTCATCTGTAGTATTCGGCGTATACTTCCTCACTGTATATATTGAAGTTACTTCGCTTGTATCTGACATTCGTTTATCGTCATATCTTTGGGCATATGAGGATAATTCTGAAGCTTCAATCAAACTATCTTCTGACATGTTAGCAGTCATAACCGAGACTGAAGACCGGAGCTGCAAAGCGTATTTCTTGCCAGGTGTAGTCGTCGAATTTCTAGTAGCCGATTTTGAAATCTTGTTGCTAAGTTTGCCTTCCGATGGCGGTTGTTTTTTTTTACCTTTTCGTAGCACATCTTTTTCTTTGACGGCATCTGTAACGTGAGGTAATTATTGGTAATCATGATTTTATAAATCTGTAAATTTACTGTTCTGAGCTCCCTACTAATTTTAAATCATGTCAGTTTTATGTCGATAGTGTCAATGGTAGGATTTTGTACGTTCGGTATTCTGTTAAAAGTTAACAGTAGTGGCTTGTTCGGTCGAATTCAAACCGACGTCTTCTAGCAAACCGTGGCAGACGCTATGCCAACTAAGCCACGAAATTAACCAGCGGACCTCACGAATTTTTCTACGTGTTTGTTGTCGGATCTTTGTATTTGGTTTTCAACGAACTTTCAGCCGTGGCACCATCTATGAGAAATCTATGAAAGTATTTCGTCACCCGTTAGGTAACTTTACAGCTACTAGCCATATTAAATTGATATTCAATTATTTTTTGTGAAACTATTCCACTAGTTTATTATAACTATTAAATATAAAGATTATGTTTTACTAACATGATATTTATTTATCGTTTGTGAAATGATTATAGTTTATTATAATTATTAATACAAAGATCGAACACAAAGAAAAATTCCCACAGTCTGACAGGACTCGAAACTGCGTCTGTGGTCTTAGTTTTGCATACAACATTACATTATCAATTTCACTTTATTTAACATCCTGATATTTTACTATCATGATATTTATTTATCGTTTGTGAAATGAATATAGTTTATTATGATAAGTAATACAAAGATAGGACACAAAGAAAAATTCCTACGATCCTACAGAACTCATACAGACGCAAGTGAGTTCTGTCAAAGGAATTTTTCTTTGTGTTCAATCTTTGTATTAATAATTCTATTTACCAATTTGTTTAATTCCGGAACCATCTCTTCCTACGTCTGCTGTCTTGTAGTACTTGTACGCTTACAAATATTCGACAACGTTACATACATTGCTTTGATCCCAAGTAAATAACTATAGCACTTGTAGGAAATGAAACTATTTTTCCGGATTTAAATCGCGTATATTTGTTTTTTCAAACAAACCGGCGTTTCGGGCCCTTTTCAGGTCTCATGGTCACGGTTGACTGAGGTGGTACAGTCATCAACTAGCTATGTCTATCTAATATTAATGCAAACCACCCTATTTTTTCAACAGGGCAGATGGTTTCTCCATACCACCAGTTTGGGAGCCAGTATTTCCTGTGGTGCAAAGACTGCAGTACTAATTATGTTTTAATTTATACTAATTTATTTTATTAATTAATAGTAAATTTAAGTTAATAAAAAATTATTCAATAAAATAATTTGTTAAACGTAATGTAGCGTAAATTAGAATGTTTCTTTGTAAAATTAATAATAAGGTTTTTAATTAATAACTTTTGTAACTATAGTGAAATAACAGAGCGGTTTGCATTAATATTAGACATAACTGGTTGATGACTGTACCACCTCAGTCAACCGTGACCATGGGACCTGTAAAGGGCCCGAAACGTCGGTTTGTTTGAAAAACAAACATACGCGATTTAAATCCGGAAAAATAGTTTCATTTCCTATGTGTAACAATCGCGAAAACCTAAGAAGTCGATAAAGCACTAGTGTTATGGAAATCAGAAACAACGACGGTACCACAAACACTCATTCATACCCGAGACAATATAGAAATAGTTCTGTATTGACCCGGCCGGAGAACGAACCTGAGACCTCAGAAATGGCGATACCATGTAAACCACTCGACCACGGATGTCCTCAATAAACAACATTTGTATAATTTTCTATAACATTACCTCCAACGGCAGTTTCCAAATTATTCAAAGTGACTTCCATATCAGCCAGTCTTTCACAAAACCTAAGCACCATCTCGCGTTCTTCCTTCATCAGCTTCTCACAGATGTCAGCTATAACCAATCCGTTGAGCGAGCTAACGCAGCAATGATATAAAAGGACGGATGTCATCATGTACAATTTCTTCGGTTGGTCTTTCGCTTCTGTTAAATATCTGGAATTGAGACTTTAATGCAATATTTATGTTATTTTAAGCATAAATGCCGCTGATTGAAGTTCAGACGGATCGAAGGTATTTTTCTTTCAGTTTGTCCTATTTGAAATTATAACAACAAACTGGTAGAGTATTTTCACAAAAAAATACATAAAAAATATATTGCAATTAATAAAGTGACATCTATTGTCAACCGCTGGTAGATATATAGGTGTCGTCGTAGATTCTCCTCTCAGTGAATTCTGTCGAAATGCACTGGTAAATTTTTTAGTAAAAACGCGTGTGCTCCTCTACATGACACTGGCGAAATCATCGATTACTTCGATGGAGATATAACATTTAAAAGAAGGTACTAGAGAAAGGAAAAACTTCCATAGCTTTCTCACAGTGGCGCTAGGGTAAAAAGTATTGCCACAGTATACCAGAAGAAATGAAATATCGGAGAGCTCGCATAATTTTTGGACATCGAGTGTATAACCAGAAATAGAAACGAATTAAGGACCATCCATCCCTGACAAGTCATCAGGCAAATGGGCCTTATATCACTTTTAAATATCAACTCTCGTTTGCACTGAAATCACAAATTAGAAAGTTCAAATAGTACAGCGCCAACAACTGACCTGTCTAAAAATATTCTGTAATTATTCTGTTTCATTCGGTAGTGTAGAAAAAACAGTAAAACATCTAACTACAAAACAAACGGAATCACATTTCATCAGTAATTAAATATTAAACATGCAATTTTTAAATTCTCTTTCATTATGGCAAAGCTAAAGTTAAACTGGTCGATTTGAAGTGAAACAATTGACGACACCCGTCAAGTGTTTCGAATTCGGGCTGGCTAATCGGAGAGCAGTAATCATTTGGCAGAATAGTTTTCAAACAAATTAAATGACATTTCATCTCTTATTTCTGGTTATATACTCATTGACTTACAATTATATGGACGTCGGGTCCGCGCTAAAAAGTGTCCGCACTTGTAAGGCGCTAAAATCGTATACAGAGCGCGACACTCCGCTTTAGTCTTCATTTGTTCTACGGACAGCGCGATACTGCGATGACATAACAATTTAAATTTCGAATAGGTTGACTTGGGACATTTTTTTCGTGGTTTTTGTATTAGACCCGTCGTCCATTTATTTGTAAGTCAATGTATATACTCGATGCTTTTGGGATAACAAGTTTAAAACTCAGGCCACAAGAGGCGGTACAGCGGGAAAAGCGGTCCAGGGGCGAACCTATGGGAAACGAATGCGTACCGGGACGTGTAACTCAGCAGTTCCAAGTGTAGTTCGCGGCGGAATAGTGTCGCGAAGGCGGCCATTGTGACACCAAAAGAAGCAACGTTTCATTTTCTACCCATATTTTAAAGAAAGCACCACTTCGGTGTCGCATAAACCTCAACAAAATTTTCTGCCTTTGTTAGCGTAACAGGAGCAACGCAAAAGAAATTTCGGTCAATTCATATTCAAACTTAATGAAAGTACACTTAAAAGAGTTTTAAAAAATACAACATGCAATCCCGCTAAAGCCCTCTGTGGACGGTTGCATCTATAGAATTCAATGGAATACAACTCTCGCGCCCGCATCCCTTGCACACATCTCTCGCTTTTTTGTATGTACAGACTATTGACTTACAAATAAATGGACGACGGGTCTAATACAAAAACCACGAAAAAAATGTCCCAAGTCAACCTATTTAAACGTAGTGACATGTAAAGGAATATGAAAAAGCTAAAACGTTGAATTTAAATTGTAATGTCATCGCAGTACTGTCTAATTTTGCTTGCTTCGCTGTCAGTCGAACAAACGAAGACTAAAGCGTGAATGACGCTCTGTATACGATTTTAACGCCCTATAAGTTCGGACACTTTTTAGCGCGGACCCGACGTCCATATAATTGTAAGTCAATGTAGATCCACAATGCTTGTATGATAGATGCGTTAAAAATTATTTGATGAGATTTTACTTTAATTTGATTGAAAAAATCGACCCAGATTTAGTCACTGTTGTTGATAAATACTCGTAAAATGCCAAAACTGGCATAAGAGTCAATCAGGATTTTACTTTTTCAGTGATATAAAAAATTATAAAGATCGAAGTATGGCAAACAGATTCACTACGGTCATGTAGTAAGTAGTAAAAATTGAAGTTTTTCACAGGCTTTCTACCAAAGTTACCAATAGTTTGGTACACTGATCATTTAAAGGACGATGAGTCCAAACCATGGGACAAGTATGGGGTACAACTGTACGAATGGCCTGAGAGTACTGAGAATATTTTGAAAAATTACAAGCTGATTCAATCCAGCAAGTGGGATCTTTCCTGTCAGATGAAGAATAATAGATGCTACAGGTACAGGTAGGAGACTGTCTGTTCTTACTTCACATGTCAATCCCTCTTAAATTATCAACTGAGAGTGTCTACAGGTCTTGTGGCGTCCTATGCAAGGCTACACGGACTAGCTGGTAACTGGTCATGTCTGTTCAAATTCAAATTCATTTATTCAGATAACTAGGATCCATAAGCGTTAGCAACAATGAAACTTATAATTAGGTTAGTACTTAAATTCTAGAACAGATTTTGTATTTTTAATGAGATGCCGCATTATGGGACACTCACACCTAACTGCAATTGTCTTCAGGAGGCTGTTACCGCTGCCACGTATTCTGTTCAACAGAGATGCTGATCTTTTGCGCAAGATTGCCATGAAGCTATCCACACGGGCTTCAGCAAACATGGCAGACGCACTGCAAAACCGCGGCAGCCGCATCAGCGTCCTGAAGGCGTTATTGTATTGCGTGCGCAAGGCCCTGAGCGAGACTTGGGTATAGCTGGCCCACAGAGCCCCCGCGTACAGTGGTGTGCAGTAAGCTCTGAAAAGAGTGACCTTCACCTCCACCGTACATCGAGCAAACCTGCGAGCCAGCATGTTCGCCCTCACCGACAGTGCCCTGCGCTCGCGTTCTATATCCATATTGTCCTTGAGGTCGTCGGCAATATAGTGTCCTAAATATTTGAAATGAGCTAGTCTGTGTCGCTTTCATATTTATATATATTATTATCGTCATACTTTTTCGAAGGCTTGAATCTCTTCGACATGCAGGTTTCGTCACAATGTTTTCTTTTACAATTAGTGAGAGGTATTGCTACTTACACTTACTTACTACTATTAACAAGTATAAGTAAGTTAGAAATTAGATCACCACAGGGATTCAAACGGTCGAACTCCCTATTGAAAAGCATCCGTTTTCTAAATATACTACCACCACATCTTTCATTTTTAGAACGTGGCAAGAGATGTACTCGTGGAAGTTATGGAGAAGTCTCGACGTGTTCTCTGTCGAAGGTGGTGAAACTATTTTGTGGACGGATTTAGTAGATTCACGTAAGCTACCATCTTTAATAACTCTTCAAAGCAGGAAGACGCTGGGTAGGATTTATACGTATATGCAAAGAATAGGTATGGGCAGTCCGAATCACCCATTGCGAACTCAAATTTTAATACATAAATACGTCTTCATAATATTTATCTTTTGTGTGTAGATAATGTAGATTACCATTTGTGGCCCCGAGCAGCGGCTGTGGCCGAGCGACTCTGGTCCGATATTGTGGCCAATGGTTCTGTCACAGGTGATGTCTACATGAGATTGGACAGTCACAGGTTGGTTAAATTTTGTGTGAAATCCCATGAGGTATGTCACGCTTTTGCATCGTGATAGACGTCCCACAACCTAGTTTGAATCTCAATATTTCGTGATTTTCTGACACAGTTATTGTAATTATTGTTACACATTTTACTTATAATTATTGACCTGCGAAAATGCGATAAAAATAGGTGTGACAAGGATGACATGGGCAGCTTTGTTCATGATTGGTTCATATTACGGGCCCAAAAACAGTGACGGGTGAAGAAAATTATGGGCGGTAGCGGGGCAACGACGACTAAAGATAATTAAGGTTTACACCTTCCGAATTCTAGCAATATTAGGGCCTGTTTTCAATACGTATTTAATTATTTCCTATCCAGATGGCGTATGCTGATCCGTGGGTACAATGTGCAACCAATCTGGCCAGTATGGTGTAGTTTTAATCCTTCTACTTGCGTGCACAATATACGATATTAAATTAACTTGATGCTTGTTTTTATTAAAGTATAAAGAAGTGTTAGTAACAGTAGAGGTCATTGTGAAAGAGTTCATCCAGGGAAGTACTGCCACAGTACCACCAAGCAATGTACATATTACTACCTTCCGGTTTTTGAAGGGTCGGAATGCTGATTAAATTACAGGCACAAGGATCTTGCATCGAGTATATAACCAGAAATAGAGACGAAATAAGGGCCATACGTTCCTGGTAACTCATCAGTGATACACCACTTATAAATATCAACTCTCGTTTGCACTGAAATATAGACAGCGCCAACAACTGACCTGTGTGTACGTTTCCGTATATTCCAAAAATGTTTTGTATTTATTGTAATAAAGATAATATCTCTAACAATGGCGTGTTAATTAAATTTTTATTGAATTGATATTCAATTATTTTTTGTGAAATTACTCCACTAGTTTGTTAAAATTATTAATACAAAGATGCACACTCAGAAAAAATTCCTTCGATCCGGTCGGATTCGAACCGACGTCTTCTTGCATACCGTGTCAGACGCTATACCAACTAAGCCACGGAACGAACCAACGGACCTCACGAATTTTTCTATATGCTTGCGTCGTGTCTTTGTACTTGGTCTTTGAATGACTTTTTAGTCGTAGCGCCATCTATGAGAAATCTATAACAGATTTATAACCCAGTTAGTACCTTTACAGCTACCAGTCCTGGCGAGAGATGTCGCTATTCACTGTATTAATTAAATTTTTATTGAATTGATATTCAATTATTTTTTGTGAAATTACTCCACGATCGAACACTCAGAAAAAATTCCTTCGATCCGGTCGGATTCGAACCGACGTCTTCTTGCATACCGTGTCAGACGCTATACCAACTAAGCCGTGGCGTGTTGTTCCATTCATCAGGAATTACATTTCATCGGTAATTACATATGTAATTTTGCAATTTTCAGCCATTACAGCAAAGCTCAAGTTAACTGGTCGATTTGAAGTGAAAACTATTGACGACACCCACTGACGACACCCGTCAATTGTTTCGAATTCGGGCTGGCCAATCGGTTGTTGTCACAGTAATGATATGACAGAATATTTTCAAACAAATAAAATGACATTTCGTCTCTATTTCTGGTTATATACTCGATGGGTTCTTTTCACCTTTAGGTCTCAAGGTGACGAGCCCAGCGGCAGTACCTCTCAGATTTTTGCGATTTAGAATTCTGAGTGTCACTGCAACCGTTATATTTATATACAGAAAGGCTTATCGCTTACCATCAAGCACACGATTTGTTCGTCTTGTCACTTAATATGTCCTTGATTCCCAGAAAAGCCTCAGAGTCATTTTCGATTCATGCATAGTTAAGTCTCGATCAACGCAGAAAAGTGGCCCGCTTTACGGTTTTCTGTCGGATACATATCGGAAAGTGTGATTAGGAACTTTATAATGTAGTTCTATCCTCAACGTTCCTCCTTCGGACTACTAGAAAGTCCGGAACACTCCATCCTTATATGTTTAACTTACCACCTAGTCACACACGCCAAAGGAATTAACACTCTGTTTTTCCCGAAAGCAAAAAATTTGGGCCTATTCAAGGTATTGAATAGTGAATAGGCATTTACTAGACAATCACGTAACATCGTCGGCTACATCGTTGCTTAACATCAGGTGAGTTTATGACCTTTCATCATCAACAGCCTATCGCAGTCCACTGCTAGACATAGGCCTCTCTCAATGCGCGCCATTTGGTCCGGTCCTCAACTCGTCGCATCCATCTGCTACTAGCAGCCTTTACCAAATCGTCACTCCATCTGACCAGAGGGCGTCCTATACTACGTTTGCTGAGCTGTTGTCTCCACTCAACCGTTCATATATTTTAAATAACAAAAATAAACTTGAAATCTCGTTACAGAATACTTAAATAAATAGCGCGAGCTCCATATAATTCAGTCAAAGA